GGGGGGGGGGGGGGTTGGGAATCAATTTTCTTTAAATGTCATTTTGTTATTTTGACAGGGAGATGTTTGTGATCTTCCTCATCACAGTCCCATATATGTTGTCGTTATGATATACTATAGAAGGGATACATATTACTCATTATTATTGGCAAGTTGTTAAACATTAAAAACTTATTTTAAGTAACCCATTTAAAATTTTAAGTATAGTAAAACTCAAGTTGATGGATACATGTTTAGTTCTGGTTCAAGTTAAACTCAGATTAAATATTGTAGAACTTGAGTTAAGTCTTAGTTAATCTCTCAACTCGTCTAATTTGTCGAAAGTCCACACCTAAAGGGTTAGTTTGGGGGGAGAGAAAAAAGAAACTATAGACTGTGAATATTGTAACATTGCCATATAAATGGTCACATCAACAAGTCACTCCAAAGGAGTCTAAGGAGATTATGGTTTGGTGGGTCAAGAGAGAGTTATAGCTTGAGAAAGATGTTATGTGGGACCCAATGTATCGTCGTGACAAGCATGTGCTCAGACCACCATATAGGGTCTCACTATATTGGGGGTCCACGGATATATTTCTCTAACTAAATGATATAATCCGATGAGAGAATGAGAAAAGAGAAATTGGAATATATGTGTCAAGATAAATAAGTTTGTGGAACAGATCATGAGCAAGCATAATGAGGGTCTTGAAACAAAAATCTAGTGGTGAGATCCAAAGGTAACGGTCTCGCGTAGGGTTCCCGTGGCAAGATGTGTTCCACTACCTAACTAATACTTGAGACACTAGTCACCAATATATTGACTTGCATTGCATATGCCTAGGCCGCACATGTGTGGCCTTCCTTTATAAATACCCCTATATTCTCAAAAGAAATGACAGAGGAAAAAATGGATATAGATATCCTTAGGCTCTAAGCCTAGAGAGGCAGCCTCTCTCTCTTCTCCTTCCTGTCCTCCTCCATTCTTCACACCCTCCTCGTGGTTCCCTCCGACAGTGACGTGTATGAACCCATTTAACTCCCAAATTACATTCTTTGGTGACTCCATTAAGGAGCTAACACTCTGAATGGTATTTTTGCTTTCTAGAGGCACTCTTCCTTTTTGAGTTTGGCATCTACTTGTTTCACCTACATTGCCTGCCAAACAATGGAGCGAGAGATCATTCTTCCTTTTCTTTCTCTCAGGAGGAAACTGGATATGTTCCATGGCAGCCTCAAGGATCTT